CCGCTTTTGGATTTTTTGAGTCGGTTAGTTTTACTGCTTGAAAAGGTAAAACTGTCATAAAAGTCAACTATTAATGGCGCTAATTTGTGACATAATCCATTGAGTAACATTAGAATGACTTGGGAAGTTTAACCATGACGTCTGTTTCCATTGACTTTTCGGCTCGGTAAAAGTCAGTTTTACAAAGCATTCCAACCAGTTAAACTGCGCATCTCAGTAAGTTTTCCTGAGAGATAAGTTTCATAGGCTGTTTGCACTGGACTAATTATGGCAAAACAACAGACACTAACCAGCCTCTCGGTAAGTTTTACCGAAGAAAGTCCAGTCGCTATCCTGCAGCCATTTTTCCTCACTCTTCATAGATTACTACAAGCCTGGCACTATCTGTGCCCGACAGACATCAACCAACATAATTCTATGAAGAACGCAATGCGACGACATGCACGCAACAGATCGCTTTTGATGATGATCTGTTCAGACCGACACCTACAATGAGCAGACGGCATCGCATTGTCTAGCGCTCACTGGGAGCAGAGTTCAATTTGTCGTGCTACGGTCGTGCCGGGCTTTATATTGTTCAAGATTCAAAATTCTTTATTTGTGTCCTTTTGGAAAATCAGTTGGTACATCACATCGCAAAACAAAGTGCAGGATTAATACAAAACAACATCAACAATATAATCAAAATTAGGCCCTAAAACTTATTCGATATATTGATTAAAAATTCTACTGGATAGTGGTACGAATGAATTGAGATATCTATTTGTTCTACAGGTTTGTGATTTTCACCTTTTACCCAAGGTAGTCAAGTAAAAGTTGCATTTAGTGGGTGGAAACTATCTGTTAAGATACTCTTTACTTTATCAATAATTTTAATCTCAGTGAGATCATCTAGTTGTCTATTTTGTTGCAGAATTTTTCTTCAACTTCATTTATGATATGTTGTATTAATTTCTGTTATGTTAAGTGCCAAACCAAACATAACTTCCAAACAAAAGAGCGCTTTCAATAACAGAAGAATAAAAAAGACTTATTATACATGTATCAACATTGAATGACCGCAATTTCCTAAAGAAATGTAGGCGTGTCATACCCTTCATAACAATTTTATCACACTGTTCCCCCCAGTTTAACATATGTGGCAAAGACAAGCTAAACCAGTCACTCGTCGCAAATTCTGTTTCAGAGATATTGGCCAAAACATGCTGGAATGTCAAATTTTTTTGAAATCTATTTTATTGCACTAAACTAACCTTTATATACGTATACACCATGCATGCTGTTATTTTCCACATTTTCAATGTTAAAACAAAAATTTTTAACGATTTGGTGATGGTTTATTCCCGAGAAATGCCCAAACATAAACTTTGAAGGCTGATTTCTCAAATATTGTTCTTTAAACAGCTGTATGTTTAAACTTGTAACTTCTTAAGGAAATGTCAGATTTAAATGATTCTTTTACCATTTTATAGCTCTCATTTTACTGTTGAACACTGTATTATAAACTAAAATTTGATTTTTGTAAAAGTGACTGGTTTGGTTTGTCTTTGCCCACATATTATCAATCTCTAAACCTTGGTATTTATGATGAGCAAGTCGAGCGGCCGAGCGGTAAGACAGCGGCGCTGCTAGCTACAGCCCTAACATCGGCACTGGTTCCAGCCGCTCCTCATCCATAGTTCGGTTGGTAGAACCAAGTCTTTCTCGGATAAGGACTTAAAATGGAGGACCAGTGTATACATAATGCTGCTAGGTAGTCACAGACCAAGCCCATACGCAATTCAGCACAATGGCGCTGCAAGTTATGGGTTACTCTCCTACTTTTACCTTCCTACCTTTATGAGTAACAGTATCAATCTCAACATCGTCAACAACAACAAGGGATACAACATTATTTTCGCATTATTATTATTTTGCATTACTGTATATTTGTGCATATACTATGATTTTAAATACTTCCACTTACCATTCTCTAGTAGATATTGAACTATTTCCATGTGACCACACAAACAAGCATAGTATCTAAAAATAAAAGAACATAATATTATATTAATTCAGTAATCTCTATAGAGTTAGTATCAAATGTGTACATCATGTAGCAGCTTATCTCATAGAGGCAGCAGCACTAGCTCAGTCGGCTAAACTGGTGGTAGTTAAACCGTAGAGTCCCTCTCCCTAATTTTTTCAAAAATTACATTAAGAATGGAGAAAAAAAGAAAATGATATTCAAATGCAAGTCTATGAGTGCTATTTCCAGCAATATAAATTTATATTGAATAATATTATTAATAATTATTATTTGATAATTTTAATCAAGTATTTGTTTTTCATGAGTACTGAATTGTTTTCTTGCTTATTGTAAGGGCTTCTTGGTGTGATGAAGTTGTGATTTTCTTATTTATTGTTAATTTGATGCAATTCAGCCCTTGGCTGCCAATTCAGATGCTTGAATAAATTGAATTTATATTGAATTGAAAATGATAACAAAAATACAACAATTGGAATTGAGACACCAGGTCAATACCAGGCAATATAAAAGCAAAAATTTAGATTAAACATTGAGAAACATAAACTTTAAACTGTACTACTACTGTCTTAAAGTTGGGTTCCAGAGGAAAACAAATTTTTTGATTTGTCGTACAACTTATTTTTTTTAAGACAAAAAAAGCATATTTGATGAAAAACTTGGGGAACGGTTAATGAGATACAGATTTTTTGAATATTTAAAACCTTGGGGAAAAAGGAGGCAAAAGGGTGGTTATGCCCCTTTTTCCCCAGTTTTTAAGTATTCAAAAATCTGTATCTCATTAACCGTTTTTCATCAAGTATACCTTTTGTGTCTAAGAAAAATCAGTTCTACGACATATAGAAATAAAATGAATAATAAAATGTTTTCCTCCGGAGCCTGACTTTATACATAACATTCAAATTGTACTAAATATTAAAATTTACTTACAAAGGTGTACTGTCCCATTTATCTCGGATGTTTACTTCCACTTCCTTCTTTTCCAAGAGGTATCTACAGTGTTCATAAGCAAACAAAGTCATGCTAAAAACATTTAAATTGTGATAGAAATTTCTCTGATTAAAGACAAATTGAATATACCTGTAGGTACTAACAGCAGTCCCTGATGGGTGTGCCCAGTATCAGTAGTGAATTTAATAGGCAGATGATAGGGAGCACACAAACTAGAAAATGTATGACACCCCTCCCCCCACCCACCCCGAAGGCTCCCCTTCTGCAAACTTGCAGAGGTAAACAATACACTCAAATTAGTGTAAAGATTATAACCCATTCTCATCACAGGCTGGAGGGTGTGTGGGATGTCCTGACACATCCCATTCCTCCCCCCACTAAATGGGTTAAAATATTTTTTAAATGACCATTAATTTTTAATTGCAATAGGAATTTAGTTCTGCTTTCTCAATTTTCGCACCCCCAGGCCATTTCACAGCTCCCCCCACTCCATAGACCAAAACCAACCTATACCCCTGTATCACTCCCTACTCCCTCATCCCCCATGTCAATACTCCTTGATACTGTTGCGTATTAGGAGCTCGGGTAAGGTATGAATTCTCACATTTAATTTTTTTTCTTAGCTTTGATACTGACTACAAGACACTTGATTTATAAAAATAATGGACCTTCACAGAGTGCCAATCCAAAATTAACAACTGACCAATCAGAATAGAGCCAGGAATACACACTTTTCCCACACACATCCACCCCACTTTCAACCACGGATCGACGACCTTGATGGAGCCTCATTGTGTTCAGGTCCGTAGCCAGCATCTACCGAGGTGAAGAAGGACTTGGGCTCAGAGGGCCTCGAGGATTGAGTGCTTAAGTAAAATGTAAATATAATACATCTTGCAGTTTCAAATAAAAAAGAACCGAATATATTATCATACAAAGGATAATGTTTAGAGGAAGAAGTCTACATTAAGTTTCGTCTGTTTAAAATGGTAGGGAGTTTGCTGGGGGACTCGGGTGGTTGCTACAGTGGCGTATCTAGGGTTGCCCTCACAAAAAAGTGTCACTCCCAAGTCGCCCTCCCCCTCTCACTGAAAATGTTTAAAGCAAAGAAATCACGATCAAGTAGATAAAAACCAACTCATTTTGCTCCCTCACTCAATCATCGAGCCACCCACTCCAACTTCGCCCCATCAGCCTCGCCCCATCAGCCCCCACCCCGCCAACTCCCATTTCATAGCTTAGATACGCCGGTCGTTTGTTGTTAACAATCGTCTCTCTGAAGTCGGCTGTTGAGGGGTATAACCATATAAATAGTAAAATAAAACTGTTTCGATATTGAATAAGTAGCTGAGAAGTTCAGAAACTAATATCTCCCGCGTATTCGTTTGCATGCTTCACTACTGTATTATCATGGAGTCTCATTGTGTCGAGGCCCGTAGCCAACATCTACCGAGGGGCGGGGACTTCTGTGCTTTAGGCTTCGGCCTAGGCCTACATGTTAAAAAAATGTTAAGAAAGCTCATTTAACCATACCTCTCGAAGTGGCTTAATTCTCCCAATTTATTTATTATAAATACTAACTATACTATACTTAACCACAGTCTTAAGAATGTGATGAAGTGTGTGTGACCATTATATCTACGTCATACTAAATTATAGTACAAGAATAATGTGTTAAACTTTTGAAGGCAGCATATGCCTACAACGAAATACGAAAATCGTTATTGCAATCGTCATTAAACAGAAAACATAAATCAAATTGAAGTTGAATAAATTTAAAGGGTAAAAAACGAACAAAAAAACACACAACCACTGTCAATATTTAAAATTTGTATAAAAATATATCTGGTTTTGCTGATCATCTTGTCCACATACTTTATCTGACATCAGGACTGGCATGAGAACTTGACCTATTCATTTTGCCGACGCAACATTGGCTGCCCATGCAGCTCGGCCTCCCGCGTGGCCAGTCAGCCTCCTGAAAATCTACAGGTTAAAAGACACAAATTAAATATATTCAATATGTATTATTATGTCCTTTATTCAAACACTGTATTTAGTTTTCTTTGATGATTTATGTATGTAATTTAACAGTGTTAACGGCTATCTTGATTTATATTATACACAAATATGTTCGTTCAAACACAGCTCAATATATATATATATATATATATATATGTATATAGATATATATATATGTATAGAGAAAATTTATGTCTGCGTCTGCTTTTTTCAACTTCTTGCTGAGTTTCTCAAACAGCCGAAGGTCTTGCTTTGTGACCGCACTGGTCTGTGTAAACTCATGTACAATACAGCCAAACTTCCGAACAGAGGGTAGTATAAAGACAAATTTAAGAGCAACAAAAATACATTTAATAGAACCAGACATGTTTCTTCGTATTCAATAAGACATCTTCAGTGTAACGAAACAAAAAACACAAAGCATACACTGAAATATAAAAATATGTATGTAATTTAACAGTGTTAACGGCTATCTTGATTTATATTTCAGTGTATGCTATTATTTGTTTCTAGCCGTACTTATTGTGTAATAGAGTGTATCTGGTGGTATTTGAATCTATTTAACCATGAAGCCTCCGTGGTCTAATGGTTATGACGCTCGTCTTGACAGCGAGAGGTCGCAGGTTCGAGACCCGCCAGAGGCATTCTATTACACATTTTCTTTATTCATTTATTTACAAGACTACATTCGTTGCGAGCTATGCTACATGATGTATTATTATGTCCTTTATTCAAACACTGTATTTAGTTTTCTTTGATGATTTATGTATGTAATTTAACAGTGTTAACGGCTATCTTGATTTATATTTCTATATATATATATATATATATATATATATAAAATGTATGATGCTCGCAAATTTTCTCAAACAATTTCAAACATTTTATTTGCAAATCAATTGAAAGTTAAGGAAGTTACCTCTATACCAAATGGAATAGCCCTTCCGTGAACAAACAAGTCTGCTGTTACCAAACAACACTCAATATTTAAATGACACACCTGTAATTACTAGCGCTGACTTGTTTGCAGCAAATAACATGTAGTCCTATACGTGTATGTAAAAGGAAACTAAATACTTTCACTGTCGTGTTTAACTTCAAAAATCTACCAAATGTAGATGTAATGTATAGCAAGTTCATCGACTCTCTTCATCACATTGTCACAACAAGACTATTGGAAATCATTTAATCGGTGCAGAAACGTTGAGTCGGTATGGTACAGCGGCTCGTTGGTTCTAGCGTCTTTTTCGGACTTGGAAGACTACAGTTACCAAGGCCCCAATTATTTCAATGTCGCAAGCACCGACTGGAAACTGAAGGCTGAAGGTATGAGGCACCATCTGTTTACTTATTATTTAGCAAAAAATGACATGGTTTTTTACGTTATATTATTTATATATTTTATATAATATATAATATTTTATATATTATAT